ACAACCTCTCCCTCAACGTGACCAAGACAAAGGAGATGATTGTGGACTACATGAAAAAAAAGAGGACTGAGCACGGCCCCATTCTCATCGACGGGGCTGTAGTGGAACAGGTTGAGAGCTTTAAGTTCCTTGGTGTCCACATCACCAACGAACTATCATGGTCCAAACACACCAAGACAGTTGTGAAGAGGGCACGACAAAGCCTATTCCCCCTCAGGAGACTGAAAAGATTTGGCATGGGTCCTCAGATCCTCAAAAAGTTCTACAGCTGCACCATCGAGAGCATCCTGACTGGTTGCATCACCGCCTGGTATGGCAACTGCTCCGCCTCCGACCGCAAGGCACTACAGAGGGTAGTGCGTACGGCCCAGTACGTCACTGGGGCCAAGCTTCCTGACATCCAGGACCTCTATACCAGGCGGTGTCAGAGGAAGGCCCTCAAAATTGTCAAAGACTCCAGACACCCTAGTCATAGACTGTTCTCTCTGCTACCGCACGGCAAGCGGTACCGGAGTGCCAAGTCTAGGTCCAAAAGGCTTCTCAACAGCTTCTACCCCCAAGCCATAAGACTCCTGAACAGCTAATCATGGCTACCCGGACTATTCGCACTGCCCCCCCACCCCCACCCCATCTGTTTTTACGCTGCTGCTACTCTGTTAATTATTTATGCATAGTCACTTTAACTCTACCCACATGTACATATTATCTCAACTAGCCGGTGCCCCCGCTCATTGACTCTGCACCGGTACAACCCTGTATATAGCCTCCCTACTGTTATTTTACTTCTGCTATTTTTTTCTCAACACTTTTTTGTTGTTTTATTTTACGTTTTTATTAAAAAATAAATGCATTGTTGGTTAAGGGCTGTAAGTAAGCATTTCACGGTAATGTCTACACCTGTTGTATTCTGCGCATGTGGCAAATAAAATGTGATTTGAAAAAAACATCAAGCGCTGTGATGAAACTGGCTCTCATGAGGACCACCACAGGAAAGGAAGACCCAGAGTTATCTCTGCTGCAGAGGATAAGTTCATTAGAGTTAACTGCGCCTCAGATTGCAGCCCAAATAAATCCTTCACAGAGTTCAAGTAACAGACACATCTCAACATCAACTTTTCAGAGGTTACTGCGTGAATCAGGCCTTCATGGTCGAATTGCTGCAAAGAAATCACTACTAAAGGACACCAATAAGAAGAAGAGACTTGCTTGGGCCAAGAAACACAAGCATTGGACATTAGACCAGTGGAAATATGTCCTTTGATCTGATGAGTCCAAATTTGAGATTTTTGGTTCCAACCGCCGTGTCTTTGTTAGACGCAGAGTAGTTGAACGGATGATCTCCACGTGTGGTTCCCACCGTGAAGCATGGAGGAGGAGGTGTGATGGTGTGGGGGTGCTTTGCTAGTGACACTGTCTGTGATTTATTTAGAATTCAAGGCACACATAACCAGCATGGCTACCACAGCATTCTGCAGCGATATGCCATTCCATCTGGTTTGCGCTTAGTGGGACTATCATTTGTTTTTCAACAGGACAATGAACCAAAACACACATCCAGGCTGTGTAAGGGCTATTTGACCAAGGAGAGTGATGGAGTGCTGCGTCAGATGACCTGGCCTCCACAATCACCCGACCTCAACCGAATTGATGGCTTTGGATGAGTTGGACCGCAGAGTGAAGGAAAAACATCCAACAAGTGCTCAGCATATGTGGGAACTCCTTCAAGACTGTTAGAAAAGCATTCCTCATGAAGCTGGTTGAGAGAATGCCAACAGTGTGCAAAGCTGTCATCAAGGCAAAGGGTGGCTACATTGAATCTAAAATCTAAAATATTATTTTGATTTGTTTAACACTTTTTTGGTTATTACATAATTCCATATGTGTTATTTCATAGTTTATGGCTTCACTATTATTCTACAATGTAGAAAATAGTAAAAATAAAGGAAACCCTTGAATGAGTAGGTGTGTCCAAACGTTTGACTGGTTCTGTACGTTGTATCCCTCATTTACTCAAGTGTTTCCGATATTGTGTCAGTTATCTGTATGTCAATGTGACAAGGGAAGAGAATATGGCTTAATAGTGAACTGTTTTGGTAGGAATCCTTAAGGTTGTGCTAGTTAACGCCAGTCAAACACAATTCAACTGTCATGCAGACAAATATTAATATTTGTGATATTGTAATAATATTGAGGTAATGGTGTTTCAAATAACCAATTTGCTGTGTTTACTCTTTTCTGATATTCAAAATGAGGTATGGAGGTCTTGTAAAGTAACAGAAAAATAAAAAGTGCAATAAATTAGAAGAAAACATGTCAGTAGGCATTAATACTTGGCATTTGAAGAAAAGTGGTTGGGTGATTCATTAGCAAAAGCAAAAACAACAAAATGAGGCATCTGTTTGAACACAGTCGTCACAACATTTTCAAGAGGTGGATTAAAAAGTATTGATTGCACTTAGCGGGCATTAGAAGACAAACCATCTGAATGCAAGAACGAAGTGATAAGATAGCCATAGCCTGCCCCCGTCTTTCTCCTAACATAGAAAAGCCATACAAAAATAAAGCAGATGTTATGTCAAGTTTACAGTTCCAATGAATGGAGTTCAGATAAAACAAAAGCATGAAAATACTGATGTGTCACACCAATCTACTTGAAATGTGCAATTCGGCACTGTTCAAGGTTAGCTTACTGCGGAGCACAAACGTGTTTTGAGTGGTGATGTGTCTATACAAGACACTGCTTTTAGTGGGAATGAAGTGCACTATGTGAGTTCTTGCTACTAGGACAAAGCATAGGCCAATCATCAATAGCAAGTCATTAATTGCAAGTGCACAGCACTGGCTGCAGATATAATAAGCAACATACATTCTCTACAACTTAAAGCCTTTGAGGGTTTCTACAATGTTTCAGTCTTAGGCTGTGTTTACACAGGCAGGCCAATTATGATATTTTTCCAACAATCAGTTCAGCTCTTTTGCCAATAATTGGGGAAAAGATCAGAATTGGGCTGCCTGTAGCTCAGTTGGTAGAGCAAGGCGCTTGCAATGCCAGGGTTGTGGGTTCGAATCCCACGGGGGGCCAGTATGAAAAATGTATGCACTCACTAACTGTAAGTCGCTCTGGATAAGAGCGTCTGCTAAATGACTAAAATGTAAACATGTAAACACAGCCTTAGAGACAAGTATTTAAAACACTTTAAAATAATCGATTTGCACATTGGTTACAACCCTGAAGTCAAGGAGAGACATTTTCTCTCTCCATATATTTTCATACATTTTACCTTATGAAAATGTGAATACGTTGCATGCAATTTCTTTAAATTGGTTAAAGTTGAAGATGCGCAAGGGTGTGTAGCAAACCATTTTTACATTGTGCCCATGTAAACGTTGATCCTTGTTTGACCTGAACAAAAGACCCACATCTTTTGTAACCTATTGTCTTCTCAGATTCTGATAGAAATAGAATGAGAACATATGGTCCTGATGGTTTCAGATACATAGTAATTAACAATCTACACTTATGTCAAGGACTTACATGAGGCAAAGCACAAGCGAGAGTGTAAACTAAGATGTAATCTGTGGCTACAATTAAGCAAAATATGAAAAGATAGCACAGGAGCACAAATTCGAAACAGCGTAAGTACGACTACTTTAACAGAAAAAGTCAGTGGGCACGAGGGCACGTTGCCGTGGGTTTCCCATTCTCTGGTGGAGCAGGGGGATAAGTGTAGAAGCTGCCCTGTGACCTGATGTCTTGGAAACAGAGCCACAGAAACAACCTCCCTGAGGAAGACAAAGAATATCCTGTGGATTACGGAACAGATGAAGATTTCTTTCCATCGATTGTTGTTTGAAGTACATGTACATCTTCAACAATAGGTTACTGGCTTCGCCACAAATATGTAACATTACCATGGTCTCAATGGTACACAGTATTGCTTGTTATTAAATTAATGCTTTGTGCTGAGCGATTAACCATAATTTCTGTTATTTTTCGTTTTCTAAATAACTAATTGACCGATGGTAAAATTATTTGAATTCCATTTTGTTCGTTTTTGTTCTGTGAGCTCAAATGTGCACATTGCAACGTTTCTCTAGAGATAAATCAGATCAAGCCTAAACTGTGCGATATAGTAGGGAGTTGCAGTTTCCAACAGGCCAATATTCTACATTGTTTAGCGCAGAAAACGGGGTAATTAACTACTATGACCATAATCCACTGCACGCCTACTTGTCCCGCCTGTGTTTCTTTTACGCCTGCTACGTTAGGTTAGTGTGGGGTAGAGAGAGAGAGAGAAGAATGCGCAATCGAGAGAGAGATCAGTTGCTTCACAAGGTATCTATCTGAAAACACATGATCTAAGTGATTGATAGTTGGTATTTAGCAGTCATAAAAGTATGCCTTATTTACTTTGAAGAACTACTAAAATAGTAATTTTGTCAGACAGCAGCTCTATAGAGATTTGAGATGACTTGGAATTAAATAATAAAGCCATCAAATAAAATAAATATAATATACACAACTGAAATATTTTATTAAAGTAAAGTAATGTGAATAAATGATGGTTAATAAGTGATAAGCAGTAATGGGTAGTCACTACCATCATGGGACTTTTAATTGTTTTATTCTGAGTTAGAGCATTCAACCCACATAATGCATACAAAAAAAAAATATATATATATAATCTAAACCGAAAACCGTGACTATTTTTTCATAACCAAACCGAAACTAAACAGACCTCAAAAAGCACTAATCGCTCAGCACTACAAGCTGCAGACATCTACAAGAGACAAAACACAATCAAAATGGGAAGACGCTACGATACTTAAGGAATCTGGCGGAGGGGCTTAAACAGTGTTTGCCTCCCAAAAGATATCTGTAGAAAGGCAAAGAGCAATCCTGAAACACCAGTAAGTCTCCAAAGTCTATACAAACCTGCACCTCAACCCCCGCACCCCATCTTCCCTCATCCATCCATCCCTCCCTTATTTGAATGGCCCCTCCCTTCAATATTTGATGTTCCAACAAAGTATTCTGTTAGGCATGGCCATATGAGCAGAAACAATATTCCCGATGTCCAATCAGATGCTCCACATTCGACTCATCCGGAGCTCAAACAAGACGTAAAACAATCCAAAAAGTGTGTTTCATCAATGTGGTATTTCTCTACTTCCCATGACACTTGAGAGAACCCAGCCTCCACAATCAGCACGAGGGCGATTATCCTCTTAGACTTGTGGTCCTTCCAGGGCACACAGATAGAGTGTGGAAAACCCCAAGAGGGACTACTGTGATAGGTCGTCGTCACACAGCTTGTGTTAGTCATCAAGTAGAGGTCTGCAGACTCGTGATTCAGGAGTAAATTGCACGATTGTGTTATGAATCTGTGGTTCTATAGGTTCTTTATAAAAACAAAAAGGGCTATCAATGTAACACCTTTCAACTTATATTATTTGAGAGTGTTTTTGAGGAGGTATTTATGTTGAGTGAAAAATAAAAATATTGTCTAGTGAGGACTGTAAATAGTGAATTGCATGAAGAAGGTAAAGAAGATAAATACCAGGTTCTTTCCATCTGTACAGAGATTCATATTCAGAGGTAAGCAAAACAAAGGTATTATCTCTGCTACTGACTCCAGCAGTCAGTCTCTTTATCCCTTTACCCCGGGCACATAAGCCCTTTGAAAGCGAGTCACTGCTTGTAGCACCGGAAAAAAGATTAGTTGTGATTCACATTCGACTTGAGACAACACCTCTGCCACTGAAAGATACAATTCGTACAAATTAGTGTAATGTTTATTGAAGTTGCAGTCCACAAAAGCCAAGATTCTGGCCTCTGGTGTGGCTAATAACCTTGATATGAAATAATAAACCACAAAAGAGACCAGTTTGATATTCCAAAAATGTAGAAAAGTATATTGAGAAAAATAAAAAGAGCACTTAAAAAAGGTCACTTCATTGCTTGTTGTGAGCAACACTGTCCCATGCTATACATAATGTTAACCACGACTACCAGCGAGATCCAATCCCAAGACTACAAAGTATTTACCTTGTTGACACATGTAAGAAATAAAAATGTTGGTAACAATTAAGAAACATACAGCAGTCAGCAAAACGGTACCTTCAAATCAGCAACATGAAAAAATGCCTCTGATTCCCAACTTGTAAGGTACTTAAAGTGAACACAAATGTATGAATACGAATTCCGGTGACCATCCTGCTACTGATACGGCTATTTGTGATATGGACTGAAGATCGACTTTTCGATTCCAATTCTCATTTCTCTACTTCAATCTTCCCATTCCCTTTTCTATCTGCTCAGGACTTTTTCCCGGTGTGTGTTCGTAGGTGCGCCTGTAACCGGGATGCCTGGGAGAAGCGTTTCCCGCACTCCGAGCAGCAAATCGCTGGCGTCGTCGCCAGTGCTGTGGTGATATGAGTCTGTTGGTGAGCTTTCAGGAGCAGCACCCGGCTGAACTTCTTGCCGCATTCTTTACACTCGTGAGCCTTCCTGCCTTTGAGAGGCACGGTCTTCACCTTTGAGTCCAGCGTCGTCGTCCCTTTGTCTTCATCCTCCTCCACCTCCTCCTGTGAAACAGCAACCTTTTTCATGGGAGGAGATGGGCAGCTCTGGTTAGGCGATTCTGTGTTTTGCCGGCGCACAGCTGCTCTGCCAGGTGAAGCTTCGGGGAGCAGGGGGATAGTTTCCATGGCGTTCTCGTCCTCGTCCTCCTCTAGGAGCTGAGCGGGGAGTGTGAGGAGCCGGTGAAGCATCGACGGAGACCTGAGGGACACCTCAGCTGAAACACAGGCAGAGGGATACAAATCAAAGCGAAGAGAGAATGAGTGAAATTAAGATTAAAAGCAATAAAAAGCTGACAGTTTCTAATAATAGGGGAAGGAAATCCAATTGGTCCAGGAGGATGTGACAAGGAAGCTACAGCCATCTTGTTTTGTACTAGACTCAGAGAATACACATTATTCATCCATTGGAAGAATCCAAGATGGCGTAGCAGTGCGGTCGTGTTCTTTGTTGTGTGTCCGTGTAAATAGGCAGTTTTTTGTATTTTTCGTACATATTTCCCTATCACACTTTTCATCCTTCTACTAAATATACTTTCCTGCAACCCACCTCACTCAATGTGGAACAGATTATATTATTTACTCACCTTTATCTAGAATCTCCAGTTGAAACTAGCTAGCCAGCTAACTAGCTACTTGATATTAGCCACCGTTAGCGGTTTTCACCCAGAACATCGGATTTTCTGCCAGAATAACTGAATCACTGGACCCTAACACCGGATCGCAACTAGCTAGCCGCAACCGAATGGATGTTGCTGTAGGCTAATCACCACTGCCCCCGAAGCAAGCACCAGTTAGACTTTCTGCCAGAATCACAGGACCTTTAACACCTGATCATCGCAACTAGCTAACTGCAACCAAATGGATGTTGTTGTTGGCTAATCAGCCTTGAGCTAGCCTCGAGTTAGGCACATCTCCCGGCTATCTACCTCTCTGTCAACCGGACAGGACCTCCTAGAGTCGACACGGAGCCCCGCCGATCCATCACGACTGGTCTGTCGACGTAATCGTCTGTGGTTTCAACAGGCTTCCCGTTGCGACGACCACGAAGATCCATCTGCTAGCCCCGGCCCGCTAGCACACGCAAACAACAGCCGTGCTTCCTGCACGCTGTGCTTTAGCACCAATTCGAACTGCTCTCGGACTCACATATTGCTGTTCACTGGACCTTATGATCACTCAGCTGCACAGCTGATGTCTGCTGGACTGTTCCTTTACACGGTACCCTGTCCTGTTTATCTGTTTAGCCTCAGCCCAAACTTTCATCGCCATTACCAGTTGTTGTCTGAGCTCTCTCTAATAACACCTGTGATTGCTTTATGCCTCTCTCCCATGTCAATATGCCTTGCCTATTGCTGTTCCAGTTAGTTCTTATTTTACAATTACAATATAGAACTCCAAGTCATTCTCAAACTGCCTCAAATAGCTCCTTTGTTCCACCCCCATACACGCCGAGACCGGCTCAATCGGTGCCTCCAGTTATGCTATCTCTTTCATTGTTACCCAACGCTTAGGTTTACCTCCACTGTACTCATATCCTTCCATATCCTTGTCTGTACATAATGCCCTGAAACTATTCTACAACGCCCGGAAATCTGCCCCCTTTATTCTCTGTACCCAACGCACTAGAAGACCAGTTCTTAAAGCCTTTAGCCGTATCCTTATTCTAGTCCTCCTCTGTTCCTCTGGTGATGTAGAGGCTAACCCAGGCCCTGCAGCCCCCAGTATCACTCCTACACCCAGGAGTTATCATTTGTTGACTTCTGTAACCGTAAAAGCCTTGGTTTCTTGCACATTAACATCAGAAGCCTCCTTCCTAAGTTTGAGTTATTCACTAAGTTAGCACACTCCGCCAACCCTGATGTTCTAGCAGTGTCTGAATCCTGGCTTAGGAAGGCCACCAAAAATTCTAAAATGTCCATCCCCAACTACAACATTTTCCGTCTAGATAGAACTGCCAAAGGGGGTGGAGTTGCAATCTACTGTAGAGATAGCCTGCAGAGCTCTATCATACTATCCAGGTCTGTGCCCAAACAGTTTGAGCTCGTACTTCTAAAAATCCACCTTTCCAGAAATAAGTCTCTCACTGTTGCCGCTTGCTACAGACCCCCCTCAGCCCCCAGCTGTGCCCTGGACACCATATGTGAATTGATTGCCCCCCATCTATCCTCAGAGTTCGTACTGCTTGGTGACCTAAACTGGGATATGCTTAACACCCCGGCCATCCTACAATCCAAACTAGATGCCCTCAATCTCACACAAATTATCAAGGAACCTACCAGGTACAACCCTCAATCCGTAAACATGGGCACCCTCATAGATATCATCCTGACTAACTTACCCTCTAAATACACCTCCGCTGTCTTCAACCAGGATCTCAGCGATCACTGTCTTATTGCCTGCATCAGTAACGGGTCCACCCCTAATCACTGTCAAACGCTCCCTAAAACCCATTAGCGAGCAGGCCTTCCTAATTGACCTGGCCCAGGTATCCTGGATGGATATCGATCTCATTCCGTCAGTAGAGGATGCCAGGTTGTTCTTTAAAAGTGCTTTCCTCTCAATCTTAAATAAGCATGCCCCATTCAAAAAATTCAGAACTCAGAACAGATATAGCCCCTGGTTCTCCTCAGACTTGACTGTCCTTGACCAGCACAAAAACATCCTGTGGCAACTTTTCAGGGAAGTTAGGAACCAATATACACAAGCAGTTAGGAAAGCAAACGCTAGCTTTTTCAAACAGAAATGTGCATCCTGTAGCACTAACTCCAAAAAGTTTTGGGACACTGTAAAGTCCATGGAGAATAAGAGCACCTCCTCCCAGCTGCCCACTGCACTGAGGCTAGGATACACTATCACCACCGATAAATCTACAATAACCGAGAATTTCAACAAGCATTTTGCTACGGCTGGCCATGCTTTCCACCTGGCTACCACTACAACGGCCACCAGATCTGCATCCACCGCTGCAACTTGCCCATGCCTCCCCCCGCTTCTCCTTCACACAAATTCAGTCAGCTGATGTTCTGAAAGAGCTGCAAAATTTGGACCCCTACAAATCATCTGGGCTAGACAATCTGGACCGTTTCTTTCTAAAATTAGCCGCCGAAATTGTCGCAACCCCTATTACTAGCCTGTTCAACCTCTCTTTCGTAACGTCTGAGATCCCCAGAGACTGGAAAGCTGCCGCGGTCATCCCCCTCTTCAAAAGGGGGTGACACTCTAGATCCAAACTGTTACAGACCTAAATCCATCCTGCCCTTCGAAAGTTTTTGAAAGCCAAGTTAACAAACAGATCACCGACCATTTCGAATCCCACCGTACCTTTTCCGCAATGCAATCCGGTTTCCGAGCTGGTCATGCACCTCAGCCATGCTCAAGGTCCTAAACGATATTATAACCGCAATCGATAATAGACAGTACTGTGCAGCCGTCTTCATCGACCTGGCCAAGGCTTTCGACTCTGTCAACCACCGCATTCTTATTGGCAGACTAAATAGCCTTGGTTTCTCAAATGACTGCCTCGCCTGGTTCACCAACTACTTCTCAGATAGAGTTCAATGTGTCAAATCGGAGGGCATGTTGTCTGGACCTATGGCAGTCTCTATGGGGGTGCCACAGGGTTAAATTATTGGACCGACTCTTTTCTCTGTGTATATCAATGATGTCACTTGCTGCTGGTGACTCTCAGATCCACCTCTACGCAGACGACACAATTTTGTATACATCTGGCCCTTCATTGGACACTGTGTTAACAAACCTCCAAACAAGCTTCAATGCCATACAACACTCCTTCCGTAGCCTCCAACTGCTCTTAAACACTAGTAAAACTAAATGCATGCTCTTCAATCGAACGCTGCTGGCACCCGCCCACCCGACTAGAATCACTACTCTCGACGGGTCTGACCTAGAGTATGTGGACAACTACAAATACCTAGGTGTCTGGTTAGACTGTAAACTCTCCTTCCAGACTCACATTAAGCATCTCCAATCCAAAGTTAAATCTAGAATCGGCTTCCTATTTCACAACAAAGCCTCCTTCACTCATGCTGCCAAAAATGCCCTCGTAAAACTGACTATCCTACCGATCCTTGACTTCGGCGATGTCATTTACAAAATAGCCTCCAACACTCTACTCAGCAAATTGGATGTAGTCTATCACAGTGCCATCCGTTTTGTCACCAAAGCCCCATATACTACCCACCACTGTGACCTGTACGCTCTTGTTGGCTGGTCCTCACTACATATTCGTCGCCAAACCCACTGGCTCCAGGCCATCTATAAATCACTGCTAGGCAAATCCCCGCCTTATCTTAGGTCATTGGTCACCATAGCACCTACCCGTAGTATGCTCTCCAGCAGGTATATCTCACTGGTCATCCCCAAAGCCAACACCTCCTTTGGCCGCCATTCCTTCCAGTTCTCTGCTGCCAATGACTGGAACGAACTGCAAAAATCTCTGAAGCTGGAGACTATTATCTCCCTCACTAACTTTAAGCATCAGTTGTCAGAGCACCTTACCGATCACTGCACCTGTACACAGCCCTTCTGAAATTAGAACACTGAACTACCTCATCCCCATATTTTGCTCATTTGCACCCCAGTATCTCTATTTGCACATCATCTCTTGCACATCTATCATTCCAGTGTTAATACTAATTGTAATTATTTTGCACTATGGCCTATTTATTGCCTTACCTCTATAACTTGCTACATTTGCACACACTGTATATATATTTTCTGTGGTATTTTTGACTTTATGTTTTGTTTTACCCCATATGTAATTCTGTGTTGTTGTTTTTAATCGCACTGCTTTGCTTTATCTTGGCCAGGTCGCAGTTGTAAATGAGAACTCGTTCTCAACTGGCTTGCCTGGTTAAATAAAGGTGAAATAAAAATAAATAAAAAGGAGAACACATACCTTAATATAAAATTAAGCATAACGAGTCATGGGACTTAAGAGTAAGTGTGCACACAACTGGCCATGTCACGTAGCGACATCAGTTCAGTAGTTCCCATGCTCACCCGTGGCTGTGGTGCTTATGGTAGCAGGAAGGTCTTGCGGAGTGTCCAAGGTCGAGGAGAGGACCTCCATGTCCTCCAGAGGCATCCACTGGGGGTCCTGCAGGAGGCTGGTGGGGGAGGGCTCCAGGTTCTCACGGATCAGGGCGTTCAGACTGGGGAAGGAGCCCACAATCCCCAGCCCAGATCCCCCGGTCCTCTCCTCGCCCCCCTTCCCTGAAGCCAGCTCTTTGATCTGCCACAGGTCGCTGCACCACTTCTGCCCAAAAACCTTGTCCAGGATGGGGACCCAGTCTTGGGCTACAGTCAAGACAGCCTGATTGTCACTGTCTACACACAGAGAGAGGGAGTGAGCGACAAAACTGAGAACAAGACAAACCTGAATTAGAAAACAAGCACAATTCATACAGGCTGTGGTCAGGACAAATTTCTTGTCACTGTCTGCACAGAGAGAGAGAGGGAGAAAAAAAAGAGAGAGAGAGAGAGAGAGAGAGAGAGACAAACAAAGAAAGAGATTAAACAAACTTGAGAACAAGACAACTGAACTGGAATTAAAGTGCAAAACGTATCCATGATGTGGATACGAACACTGACAAACATTTATAAAAAACAGCGTGCACGTTTGTGTTCGTACATCATTGCACCTGAAGAAGCAGGTAACACATTCAGTGATTATTTCCATCATTATAGCAGTCATTTCTAATGCAGTACATTTGAATATTGATCCATTTTACTAAATGTTGTACATTAAAGAGACCCAAGGCAATATACACATAGGAAGTGTCTGTTTGCTTATAGTGAACCAGCTTTATAATATCTAAGCAGTATTACCAGCACAAGTATAAGAGTGGACTCTTAGAGTAGAGGGAAACCTATATCTCCTGGACATGGCATACCTAACATGGCATGATGTCATATACACAGTAACAGATTGCAGGGGCTTAACTGGAGCAACTATTTGGCACTGACACGGTTAATAGTTAACTATAACAGGTGAGCTTCAGCTCCCATTTTGACAGCTACTGAATAGGTAAATTGACCAATTCAACTGATTCAGAGACTGGTGTTGTGTGCAAGTCATGGCTTATAACATGGTTATTGAACACATTAACATTTTTATTTAGAAAATGTGGCCTCAGAGCTCTGGTTAGTCCATATTGACTCCTATTCATACTGTTTTTTGTGTGTGTTTTTTTACAGTCTGACTACTTGGACACAAGCTTATTTTCAGCACCAGAAATTAAGGGAACGCTTGGTTTGTTTCAACTGCTATTTGCCAAGTGTTTACTCAGACATAACATGTAATTATGTGTACTTTCTGGCAATTCAAAGAATTTAACACAATTGGTAACCAACTGGTATGTACCGGCGCTTGTTTCAATGTAGAATGACTCCCAAAATAACCTTAATTATTAGGTCATTACCTATTTATCAATCAAGCAAAATAGCAGCTCGTAAAATAAAGCGTACCCAAGATTTACAATACCCTTGTATTCACCTTAATACAGTGGGGAAAAATAGTATTTAGTCAGCCACCAATTGTGCAAGTTCTCCCACTTAAAAAGATGAGAGAGGCCTGTCATTTTCGTCATAGGTACACGTCAACTATGACAGACAAATTGAGAATTTTTTTTCCAGAAAATTACATTGTAGGATTTTTAATGAATTTATTTGCAAATTATGGTGGAAAATAAGTATTTGGTCACCTACAAACAAGCAAGATTTCTGGCTCTCACAGACATGTAACTTCTTCTTTAAGAGGCTCCTCTGTCCTCCACTCGTTACCTGTATTAATGGCACCTGTTTGAACTTGTTATCAGTATAAAAGACACCTGTCCACAACCTCAAACAGTCACACTCCAAACTCTACTATGGCCAAGACCAAAGACCTGTCAAAGGACACCAGAAACAAAATTGTAGACCTGCACCAGGCTGGGAAGACTGAATCTGCAATAGGTAAGCAGCTTGGTTTGAAGAAATCAACAGTGGGAGCAATTATTAGGAAATGGAAGACATACAAGACCACTGATAATCTCCCTCGATCTGGGGCTCCACGCAAGATCTCACCCCGTGGGGTCAAAATGATCACAAGAACGGTGAGCAAAAATCCCAGAACCACACGGGGGGACCTAGTGAATGACCTGCAGAGAGCTGAGACCAAAGTAACAAAGCCTACCATCAGTAACACACTACACCGCCAGGGACTCAAATCCTGCAGTGCGAGACGTGTCCCCCTGCTTAAGCCAGTACATGTCCAGGCCCGTCTGAAGCTTGCTAGAGTGCATTTGGATGATCCAGAAGAGGATTGGGAGAATGTCATAAGGTCAGATGAAACCGAAATAGAACTTTTTGGTAAAAAGTAAACTCGTCGTGTTTGGAGGACAAAGAATGCTGAGTTGCATCCAAAGAACACCATACCTACTGTGAAGCATGGGGGTGGAAACATCATGCTTTGGGGCTGTTTTTATGCAAAGGGACCAGGACGACTGATCTGTGTAAAGGAAAGAATGAATGGGGCCATGTACCGTGAGATTTTGAGTGAAAACCTCCTTCCATCAGCAAGGGCATTGAAGATGAAACGTGGCTAGGTCTTTCAGCATGACAATGATCCCAAACACACCGCCCGGGCAACGAAGGAGTGGCTTCGTAAGAAGCATTTCAAGGTCCTGAAGTGGCCTAGCCAGTCTCCAGATCTCAACCCCATAGAACATTTTTGGAGGGAGTTGAAAGTCCGTGTTGCCCAGCGACAGCCCCAAAACATCACTGCTCTAGAGGAGATCTGCATGGAGGAATGGGCCAAAATACCAGCAACAGTGTGTGAAAACCTTGTGAAGACTTACAGAAAACGTTTGACCTGTGTCATTGCCAACAAAGGGTATATAACAAAGTATTGAGAAACTTTTGTTATTGACCAAATACTTATTTTCCACCATAATTTGCAAATAAATTCATTAAAAATCCTACAATGTGATTTTCTGATATGTTGGGTAAATCCAATCACTTTTTGACAGCATCCCTTTTCATTTAAAGTAACTTTTTGGACCTCAAAGCATTCAGGAGAGAAAGGTGCTCAAAGTTGACCCATTTTGCATAACATGAGACATCTATGTCTTCATTACTGGAAAAGATAAATGGTTGAGTTTGATAGAATTTAAAAGCTTACAAAAACAGGGTTGTCAAATTATTTTATAATTTCTTGAAAACGAATGTCTAAAAAAATATAACTTTTTTTAATGTGTACCTTTAACGTCAATTATCTAAAAACACGTACCGATTATTTTTCATATTAGCATATGTTGTAGCTTAGACCCTATTTTACATTGTCTGAGGTATTTATGTTGTGCCGGCCAACAGTTGAGACAACATGCTCTTAAATACAGGTTGGGTGTAATTTAATCCCTTCAGATCGCTGCAATTTAGCTACTACACCATTTCAATTGTATTTTTTAAATTCTAATTAGTACCACAAAGATGGCCGCCGGTCCATCCAGTCGAATGTCAACTTAAATGGTCATGTCTATTCTATCATCTATATTTCCTTGATTTCAATAGGTTTCCTATGAAGGATTGACAGTATAATTTAAAACAGATATTCCCATTCATGTCAACATTCTCTGATGTGTGGACCTCCAACCATCTTTGTAGTACCATGTCAATGTAGAAATTTCAATTTTATTCCCGTTTTAGTACATTTATCAGCTAAAACATGACACCCACGCTGTATTCAAAAGCATGTTGCGTCTCAACCGATGGCGGGCATACTACAAAAAACACAGATTATGTAAAATAGGGTCTAGAATAAAACAAGCAAATATGAAAGAAAAAAACGTGTTTAGATAATTGACGTTTAAGGTTTAAAAAAAAGGGGGGGGGAAAGGAAATTATCAAATTGTTTGTCATTTAAAAGCTGTTTGTAAGCTTTTAAATGATACTCAACTGTTTATATTTTCCAGTGATGAAGACATGGATGCCTCATGGTATTTTCTGAGCACATCTACAATGGGCAAATATGTATGGGAGGTTTCGTTCAAATCAAAAGGAATGCTGTCTAAAAGTGATTGAATTCAAATGGATTTACCCTGTGGCATTGCGAGTTGCAACTTGAAACCATATGAACAGGAAGTTACTGGCCTCTCATGAGTAATTGAATGTATAGGCAGAGGAGGTGCCGAGCCCTGGCCGTACTGTGGTACTTTCCAACCCTACATTTTCCATAACATAACATCCAGGACTGTGGGATTTGACTGCTATCATAGCAAGCATCCCCCTTTTCTGTGTGCGTGTGTGTCACATTTGGGACTGTAAATAAAGCATGCAGTTGATTGTCATGTTGACGAGAACATAATTTTACTGTTATAACACAGACCATTTATTGTCTCCGTTTGCTCCCTTTGTTCCCGGACAATTTTGACTGTGACGTTTCTGGATTCCTGCCGGGTGTCCTCTGAGCCACTGGGGAACGCTGTGTTGTTTTCTGACCCACTCCTCCTCGACACCCCGCCCTTCCCGTTCTCCTGGTGAGCCACGCGGCGCAACTGCTCCTCCAGAGCGCTGTGCTCCCGCTCTTTCTTGGTCATCTCCAGGAGCAGATCATCGAAACTGGCCTCCACGATTTTGGTCAGTTCGCACACAGCAAACTCCAGCACATGCTCCATGACCATCTTTAGCTGACCTGCAGAAGAGGAGGACACGGAGACAAAATAGTCATCAGAATTATGAAAGTAGAAATAAAAACCTGGTGTGAGTTCAGAGGAAATAATTAGGCATAGGTCAATGGTTGGTATGTTTGTAGATAAATAGTGATACATTTGAAAGCTGGCAGTGATCAAGGTAAAAAATTATATATATCACATGTTGCGCTCAATGCTCTCATTCTAGGATATTTGTTGAACACAGTAGGCAAAAACAACCCTGTATCCTTGCAGGGAAATTTCTCTCCAAACCACTCTTTTTACTATGTAAATTAGTAGGGCTGCAATTATTTGTGTAGAGGTTTTAATCAAATAACACAAAAATGCATTGCGCAATGAAATCACAAGCCACACCATTTCCAAACTTGGTTTGGATAAAAAGGTGTCTCATACATTTAAAATGTTAAAAGATCTATTGTAGGCTCAGCCATTAGAATTGGAAAAATAACAGCCATTGAGTCCTTTTGAATGCAGTCCATCCCTGCTTTACACAAAGTAGCCTTGAGAGCCCTTGCTTGTACAGCATTGTTATTATAAGCATTTCTCTAGCCTACATATTACATGTTACACACACAGTGCCCCTTTTTTGGGGGGTCCCAAAACACTAAGAAAAACATTGTCATCCCATAATGAGTTTTACTTGGCATCCTTTGAGATGAACCAATTTTTAAGCGTCCAGCAATGGGCATTAATTTTCGCCTGTGCAATACAACGACTCAAAAGTTACAGATTTCAGCCATGTTATTAAATGGCTCTTGATTGCATTGTTGTAGCACTGCCAGACTGTGAAAGTCACTTGATTGATAACAACCATATGACACCCAGAAAAGGCATGTGTCTAGGGGACAGATTTGAGCTTTCCTATAAATGCCAATTTCGCCGTTTTCGATTGGTTGCTGTTACAAATACACCAATCAATTAAATGTGAGGCAGGTTTTATTGGGCATTGCATCCATGGTGGCAATGACAATAAATTAGTTATATTCAATGAGTGAATTACTATAATCAAATATCCTACTTTTATAGAGCAGTAAAATATAGAAGGGAATCCTTTTTAATACCATGAGAAGGCTTCATTGCTCAGATAGCTCGGTCACGTCCCCCTTTGCAATATGTATAATTTGGGAGTGGTGAACATTTCCCTGAAGTAATCGAGGAAGTTCTCACAGTTCCCATAATAGTTTTGAGCTAAATCAATTACCAAAATTGATATTTTCAAACAACCCCAAATCACAGAGAATATTAGATATGCTTTTCATTGCATACACTGTAGTACAAATATCTCCATGATGATATCTGACAAATGAGCTAGGCTACTCTTTCCAAGAATTAACAGCTGTGTAGTAGAAAGCCTAGGCCTAGCCGATATCCAGAATCAAACAATGACCCACACCATGACTCTCACCCTTTGTTCTTAACCACAAGTTGTACATGTAAAATAAGTTGTGCAAAACATGGTGAGAAAACATTTGACATATCCATCACCACACATATATGGTATTAAGTCTTAGTTACAGATAAAGCTGAGAATAAACTGAACTACTTAGTCATTGATCACGGTTCCATGAACACAATAATAAGATTGTGGATAGTTGGATTAATAGAATTGTTTGTTTAAAGATGCACTATGCAGAAATCGGTCTGCCATTTCCTGGGTGCTAAAATCCTAATATAGTTTGCCTAATTTCAGTTTATGTGACAAAACAAGCAACCATAGCGTAGAGAATAATTGTACCATCTAAAACGCTGTGAAAATATATTTTCCAAAACTATTGTATTTTCAGCTGTTTGAAGCTGGTGTACAAACCTAAAGTAAAAGACGCAAAAACAAAACTTAAGAATGGGAAGCATAGAAATAACGCACATAGAACAGATCTACCACTTCTTAGACATGCTATTAATGAGTGACAGATCTATAACTCACATTTCTATGTGAATTTGGTCAGGACGCCCAAAAAGTTACATATTGCAGCTTTCAAATGTTTACATGCTTTGCAAGAAGAACAAATTAACTAATAATCCTATTTACATGGACACATCTGAAATCAGGCTTCTGATGGGACTTTTGATAAATGCAGAAAATCGCCAATCAAAATAAACGTTATACCACAGGGACCATGTTATTTTTGCGAATACTACTTTGTTCTGAGTTTGGACATATAAAGTGAAAACTATTTCTAAGATGCATACTTTCAGTTTTTCCAAACTCAATTCACTCACGCATAAAAAGGAGGTTAGAGCTACCCGGTGCTGGCAAATGCGTAGACCAAATACACTGCTGGAACGCCGATTAAGCTGTTTACATGCCCTAAATATTCGAAAGACTGCTCAGAATACCAGGTGTTTTAATCAGCGTATGCTTACCTCGATTATGACTGTACACCGATTAAGATAAGCAGAGTAAGGTGTTTACATGATTAATGCCATACTCGGCCTTCTGCCATAATCAGTTTAATATAAAATGATTAGTGTGCATGTAAACATACTCAATTATGTGATTTGACTAAAGTAGGAGTGGGTTGGAAACCGCTTTAAAGCTGTGGTGAGCAGCAGAGCACCAAGCTGCTGCAGACAATGACAGCATAGGCCTAGTTGGTTTCTGGCAACCTTGGATCATCTTGAATGCCGATTGACAAAGCAAACAGGGTTTTACACACACACGGATTTACGTAACTAGAAAAGAGAGAATGGATTACATGTCCAAATCTCTGAGGAAGAAAACAAATCAAGTTGGAAAATTGTGTGAGGAGATTTTGTGCAGCATGGTCTCTACAATTGCCCCTTTTGTTAAAACCAAAGGATATAAATAGTAATTGAGCGGAGTGAGCGAGGAAGCCTACTAGCCTAATTGTTGTGTTGCATTGTGTAAGTGTGACATCATGCACTGTATGAGGAGCTACCTGTGTGGGTGTCTGTGACTGAAGTATGAATGTTGCTGCCCAGATTAATTTACCTACAACATCAAAATGGCCTCCCTGGCCGTCGCAACCTAAATAAGATCCATTGCCATATGCTAAGTGAAGAGGTACAGCTCCAGCCTCAGCTTTGTCCAAAATGTGCAAATTGAGTTGAAGGCCTGCCAATGGCCTCAGCATTTTGGGGCACAATGACACAGTTTGCCCAATGTCTCCTCCTCCCCCCTTTTATATCTCACACCCCTCCTCTCCCTAAATGTATCCCCTCTAAGAACTGAGTGGGTGTGGTTTGCGCTTGTGACTTTCATTGGAGGATTATTGGGGGGAATGGCATCCTTTCCTTTGCTGCCAGCACTAAGGAGAGGCTCAACAACAATAACGTCACTGCCTTGCCAACCACTGATAGTCCTCTCATCCCAACCCATCTTCAATTACAGAGAAGAATGTTTGATGGGATGTATGCTGCAGTGGTCAATAAGTAGGCCTATCATTTTCACTGATAGGAAAAATTAATGGGGATGGATGTACTGCCTTTCAGTTAACCGTTTGCTTGACACAACTGGTGACAAGGTTGGTGATGTTGGCACTGGTTGTCAATCCACAACTGTACATTGGAACAATCTCAATGGCAACAATGTCACCACAGATGACAAATTGGCCTCTTGACACTTAATTATTGTTAAGTGTACACCTCTTGAGACAAGAGACCATTGTAAGCGTTCACAAGGACGCATGCCTGAGTCAAATAGAACCCAAGTGAAACCAAGGTAATATAACCACATTGAAAACGACAGTTTTTCATATCCTGAAGATTTTACCACACATGTAATTGATCCTCAGTGTGCTGCAGGCTACTACTGCATGTCATATTTACATATCAACTCTGGTTGTTATTATTATCAATACTTTCTGTTCTATGCGGATACCTATACCAATATAATGGTGCGTTGTCCTGTTTTTGTTGACCTCGCCACTATATGTAAACGGAGTGTGTTGATACGTTGTGCCACATAAACAAACAGTCGGCGATCAAACAGACTTTAGGGCTACAGAATGGTGTTATTGCCTTATTGTGTTTCAAATGTATAAGATGAAACCTCTAGGTGCCTTGGTAGTAACCTTGCCTAGCTAGTAACCTTACCCACTACTCGTCCTTTTTGATCCAGTCTTTGAGTGTTTGCGTGCATGCCGCGCTCTGTGCTGTGGCTGAAGGTGTGTGTTTCGGGCTTTGTTCGATCCGTGGCCGCGTTGTCTTCCCTGCCACCGTTGAACTCGGCTCCATTTTCTACCCCATTACGTTCAAACTCCAGTGATTGAAGCCTTAACTTAAGTCTTTGGTTTTCTTGTTCTTTGACGGCCGTTTTCAATAACATAGAATTCAAGCTTGACCCAACACTCTTCGTTATTTCCTGGACTGCGAGTTGCACTACTTGCTCTAGTGCAGATTCCAACTGACCTTGAAAAAACGAAATGTATACCGCGCTGTTCATGATTTCGTCCGTTTTGGTGGAAGACGTCTTTCATTCTTCCTCCCACACCCCAAAAATATAAAATAGAAGTCAGCACACAACTGATTTACACGGAGAACCAGCTACCTCTATCAACGCATCGTGTGTACACCCCTTGGATGCTACCGTAGTATCACTAGTACAAACGCAATAAGTTTCCCCCCATCTCAATCATGGCCAATTGTGTTTCGAGTCGGGAGAGGGTATAGGGACACACCTGGTGCCCACATTTATGATGTAGGACATGTCGTGCACTTGAGACAGCAGTGTGGAGACAAATGGATTCGTTTTAGGCAGTCGTCCTGATAAGCCCTTCCCAGCTAGTTTATGCTGGCTACCTGGCAACAACAGCAACATGCACCTATACTGAACAAAAATATAAACCCAACATGTAAAGTGTTAGTCCAATGTTTCATGAGCTGAAATAAAATATTACTTCTCTCAAATGTTGTGCACAAAGTTGTTTACATCTCTGTTAGTGAGCATTTCTCATTTGCCAAGATAATCCATCCACCTGACAGGTGTGGCATATCAAGAAGCTGATTAAACAGCATGTTCATTACACAGGTGCACCTTGTGCTGGGGACAATAAAAGTCCACTAAAATGTGCAGTTTTGTGACACAACACAATGCCACAGATGTCTCAGGAATGTCCACCAGAGCTTTTACAAGATAATTGAATGTTCATTTCTCTACCATAAGCCGCCTCCAACATATTTTTAGAGAATTTGGCAGTATGTTCAACCGGCCTCACAACCACAGACATCGTGTAACCACGCCAGCCCAGGACCTCCACATTCAGCTTCTTCACCTGCAGGATCTTCTGAGACCAGCCACAAGGACAGCTGATGAAACTGTGGAGTATTTATGTCTGTAATAAAGCCTTTTTGTGGGGAAAAACGTATTCTAATTGGCTGGGCCTGGCTCACCAGTGGGTGGGCCTGGCTCCCAAGTGAGTGGGCCTATGCATTCCCAAGCCATTAGGGCCTAATTAATTTATTTCAATTGACTGATTTCCTTATATGAGCTGTAACTCAGTAAAATCGTTGAATGTTGCGTTTATATTTTTGTTCAGTGATACTATCAAGAGCAGTGTGCGGGTTTCTTCTTTTTTTCTCATCTAATTCAACTGTCACCATGCACCTGCAAAAAAGATAGCTCAGATGTGCGAGTGCCTTTTGAATTTTGTTCAGTATAGTTCAAAAACTAAAATAAAGTTATGTTTATTTCGATGGGCAAGGATAAATAACATGTAGTAACGTCACCATCTCCAATTTGGTCCATCTCACTTGATTTTATTTCGAGTAGTAGGATAGCAGCCTACACGACAAAGAACTTGTAATATTGGTAGTAACCATTTGGATGCCACCGCGATACAGTCTACAATGCTCAAATGGGAGAGTTTACGCTGCAAGCCGACAGACAACACAACAACACGGGCCACAATGTTCTTCGCTCCCGCAGTAAAGAGAGGGAAGTAGCTTGATAGTGTAGCCAATTTCAGGCCAGGATGAAGGCTGAACCACATTTATTGTAGTGATTTTCACCGAAAATATACAACTGCGGCATTAACGTCTAACGTTACATTTTTGTAAAAATAAATAAATAATAATACTTCGATATAAACTGAATGATTCGGAACACTCCCATGTTCCAACTTCGGCTGACAAGTTAAACATTCTCGCTGAAGTTTCTAGCCACAAGTATAAACTAGAAGGGCTCATCAGTAATACTGACTGAACTGAACCAAAGATTATGGATATACTGACAAGATACATGTCTCTTCCGCCCTAACAATGGGAGTTGTTGTCCATAAAGCGGCACGGCGGGCTGTCTAGCTCCCGCCTATCCTTGCTTTGTAATAATTTTTTGAATATTCGATTAGGGTTGTTGACGTCAACCGCCTGTATTCAATGTAGAGAGATGCTATGCTACTAGCCTAATGTCATGAATATGCTTAGCCATCTCGAGACAATTCCGATATAGTGTTTTTTTCTTCTCAAAGCTGCCGGGATGTCACGTGTCCTACTTATATCAGCACACTCGTAACACCTTAAGCATTACGACACTTCTATTCGATCAAATAAACCTCACGTAGCAAATAAGCCATTAATTTATTTGTTGACCAAATTCCACAATTGATTTGTTGACCTCCATACAAAAACTCCGTGCTTGGTGGGCGAAACAACTAAAAAACGCCACCTGCTGGAGGGAGACAGATTTGCCGCCGAGTTGGCCTCTCTCTTCCTCTGACTGAACGCAATGCGTTTGTCTCCGCTCGCCTCTCGCTGCGCGACGAACGTCATCAATTTCGGCACCAGGCGTATCCATATACCCTTTCCCTTTACGGTCGGCCACGTGTGCACGCCATTTTGCTTAAGTAGACTCAATATATGTCAGTCAGAGAGCCAATCGCTGTCATATACATACCATGACATACATTTCCCACTATTGAAAATTGTAGTAGATTTTAAAAGATGTAAAATATATATATATAACAAATAAGGCTAGGTTACATAACACTTTACATAATGGTACACTTACAATAATGTAAAGGTGTGTTTAAGTAGTTTGTAAACTGTTAATAATTTATATATTATTCGTTTATATATAGTTTATAAATATGTAATGAACTATAACACAGATATGCCTAATATATCTATAAACTAATAATTAACAGTTTAGTGAACTAATATTATTTAACAAATTATCAACTACTTATGAACTGAATTAATTAATGAAATAAAGTTCAATCAATATAAAGCAACTCAATCAATATCATCGATCATACCTCAGTCTACATTCCAGTCACTCAACTTCAAGTCTCCAACTATGAAGTATTAACTATGACATTTACCATTACTAAAGATTACTTGTATTTTAATTGTTGTTGTTGTTGATCATAATAAAGTTATACATTTGTAACTATTAAAACTATTATTTTCACATTAACCCCTTCTTTACATTGTTTGCTTTGCTTGACCGTGGTTCCCCCTCAGCTTTGCCAAAAAAAAACATTTCCTAGAATGCATATAATGCATTGACACAACCAAACGAAACATAAATTGATATGGTAGCTAGCACACTGCTGCTTTGTTATGACTTGGTGGGGTTTGGGAATCAGCTGTAAGGAGTGTCCTGCAATTCTATTAGAAATGTCTTAAACTGGGGTTTTTTGTAAGATCCAGGCAATTTAACGCAGGGCTCCAATAAATAAATGTAATGTCTCTTGACCCGGTGTCTGGCCTCTCCTTCAGGAAATCCTCACATCAGCTAAAATGTTATTTTTTCATTTAATGTGTTGATGTCTGGTAGGAGTGAACACTGTTTGCAGGTGGTTGGCCAATTTATTGAACTAGCACATTGTAGTCTCCATGCACGACTTATTGTACATATTACTACAACTAACAATGTCCTTTGAAATGTCCTTTGCAATGTCCTTTGTCTTTTGTGATGTCTGTTAAATTTTATATAAAGTATTGAAATATAGGTATATCCTTTGACTTACAAATACTTTAAATAGCAATATATTTCATATTTACAGGGACTTGAAATATTGTTATTGTTTAAGCCAACCTTTTCTACCTCTGAGAACCAAATAGGTCTAGTAAATCTGGAAGACTGCTCTTTGTATAGGCCTACTGTCACAAAGTAAGCTGGTCCGACCAGTCTGTAAGTAAACAAGCAACTTTCCAGCTTCAAAATATGTAAAATGTTTTTCTCTCAAGGAACTTAATTTATATGCTTTTACAGATATATCATAGATGTTATAATAGATCACCTTTAACTTATTTCCCTGTTCCTATGTCTAAAACAATAACTCAATAATGCTTTAACTCAGTGAAGAACATGTTTCTACTCACTTTTCATTATTAGATCAAGTTCAAATATTTGTATATTATTATTATTATATAATGTCTGCACTTAATGATTCCCTTTTTCTTATTTGAATTATAGATTCCTCATTACCATTAAAGGTTACATGGCATTTATTGTGAAACTACAGGGATTTTGTAATTAGCCTACTAAACGATCCGTGGTTGCCACTCCCCCTTGCAACTAAAACATATCGCGATCTTCTCTCTACACTACGGTAAAAAAAAAAAAAACATTCACAACACAACCGGAAAACGGAGCTAGGATCATGGTAGATCATTACACTCCCTCGTCCTGGTTTCAATAGGATCTGGCTCCAGCAGATACCTTCTCACGCCACAGATGCTGTGACACATACTAGATGAGACAGGATGTCGAATGGTGCACGGGTGGTGAAATTACATTTAGAATTAGAAGCTAGTGTACTAGCTAGCTTCACAATCAACAGTTGTTAACATAACGCCCTGGACCAGAGCTAATGCGCCGACAGGAGACCAAAACGTTTACAGGTTGCGTGCGCACATACCGTCTGAGACGCATGCACATTGCAGACCACACAGCCGCAGAGCATAGACTGCAGCTGGATGCTTCTCCTTTAAAGGCGCTGCATGGTCAATCCGACCTCTACATTGGCTGTGCAGCATTTATGGTGATATGGCCTCTGCAGAAGTCAGGGCATTCATACTTCTTGTGCTTTGTGGAGCAGCGCAGAGCTGTTGTCAAGGAAGTGTGTGTTTATACAGGACCTCCTGCCCCCCCTACCGTCAACCAATCATGTCAATTGCGAAGCCTGCCTCCAGAGGAAAAAGTCCTTCCTATCTCCTCCATGACCTGAAACCGATAAGTGGTCGAGGAGAGTAAACAAATATGATCTACTGTCTATTGTGATCTATTATAATCGAGTGACCGCTCTAAGGGCTCAGACACACCAATAGAGTTTGCTGGCCCAGAGTACTTAGCACCTCTGAACGTAATTTGCGAACCGAGTGTGCACCGATTTTACATGTAGAATCATTTAAAAAATGTCGGCAGTCAGACATCTACAGCGTGTGGCCCCTAGAACACAGCGCGCTGAACGATCGGAATATGAACGCAAAGAGCCACATCCTGTGAGATGTGTGTGAGCTTTAACAATGGAAATACATGTCCTCAAAGATGGAAGGCAGGCGGGAGGACGCGAGATCAGGTGGAACCATTCTAGCCAATGAGAGAGCAGATACGCGTGTGAACACCAGG